GAAATTCACCCCCCAAAATACATGAAATTCACCCCAGTGAGTGCAAGCACTGCACAGACAAGTGTGTTTCACTCCCCTGGCCCCCAGGAGTAGGGGAGGTGGAGCAGCCCCCAGAGGATGTGCACAGCCTCTCCTGCTGTGGCTGCTGCTGTCTGCCAGGCAGCCCCAGAGCCCTGGGATGTTTTATACCACACGTGCTGCAATAAATAGGCCAGAACTGGGTCCAGGACACTCAGTGCTGAAATGGCAGGGAGAATTAAGCAGGGATTCATTTGAAATCCAATAGCTGCCACTTTAATGGACTCCCTGGCACCCAGTGCTTCTGATGTGTTGTTTTTGTGCAGTTGCACAGGGATATTTTGCACTCCTGCTACAAACACACACCATCTGCCTCAGGTTGGGGAGAACATCCCCTGCAACAAGGATGATGTGCACATGCATTTCTAAGCATTTGCACCCTTTCTTAAAGCCCTCTTTGGAAAAAGGTACTGGAGGAGATTTAAGAATGTGTCTATCCCTGTTTCATTTGGTAATTACATAATTCTTGTCTGTTTGGCTTTCTGTGCTGCAACTGTGCAGATGTGAATTGTGAGTTTAACCCAAAACTTACTGTACCAGTATTTTTGGGCTTATTGAGAACATTAAGACAGAGTTCTGTTGGAAGACTGTTGGATATTATAATCTGACAGTCATTGGTGTGGAAAACAGTTGAATCTATCCTTGTAGATAAGTTTTAGACAGTGCTGTCCATGTGAAATGTTAATATGTGATGTTTTAAATCTTACTTCTGTTGTAACATTTTAAAATTAAACCATTCTTCTTCTAATTAACACTTCAGCTTTTTAATTTTTTTTCCATAAAGCTCATTTTAATTGGAGTAGCATGTATTGCATGTTTTATGAAACACCTTCATTGAAAGTCTTGGATACTTTCCATTCAGGTCCCTATAGACCCATCCAGTTTGAAAATACACTGTTTTATCCTCTCCTTAATTACAGGACTTGGAGCAACTCTCTGTTAACTGTTTTTAAGTTCCACAGGATAATGAGTCTACCAGAAGTAGAGAGTGTACAGCAAAAAACTGTTCACAGGAGGAAGCTTGCTGTTGCTTAGCTACCTGTCTTTTTAATTTGGAATCTCCAGCAATTCCATAATGATTAGTCCTTAAGCTGCTAAATGTATATTGTGCCATTCTGAGCACGCATTTCACCTATGCATTACTGCTGTTATTGTAGGAATAACAGGGGTGTTTGGAATGTTGTGTGAACCACAAACCTAAATATAGAAGCAGTTACTGCTGGTGGGTACAATGGAATTCAGAAAAACTTAAGCAGAAAGTTGCCTGTGCACCTCCAGAGCAGTCCCAAATATGAACAAGTTTTGTGTAATCTGTAGGTAGTGCAACCAGTCTGCAGTACACATTCTCACATCAAACATAATAGTGATAAGATAATAAATTGCAGATCAACATACTGTGACACTTAACATGGTTTTGGTCCATTTAGCATTTTCTTGCTAGTGAAAAAATGCCTGACTTGTAAAAATTGCCTGAATCTCACAGAAATCTTCTGAAATAAGACTCTGAACTAGGCAATAGTCATAGGAGAATTACTGAATGTTTTTTTTCTGGAATCTGTGAAAAAAAATTACTTAAATTAATGCTATCTGATCAATCCTAAAATTGATATAAAGAGATAGTTTATCTAGGCTCGTGGCCACAGAACTGGTATAATCATAGAAAGAAATTCTGGCTTTTCTAAACCTTTTTCCAGTATGTGGATCTAAAAAGGATTTTCATTTGCTGGTAAAGTGAATTCTTTCTTACTATAATAGTCTTTCCCATTAGGAGAAATCTGTGACTCTACCCTTTTGCCTACACAAAAAAATCCACAGCAGCTTCTGCAGCAGCACTCGTGTGTTTGTGGGAGGGCATGCATCCCATCCTGTACCCCACATCCCACATCCCACACCCCATATCCCATATCCCACACCCCATATCCCACACCCCATATAGCATATCCCATACCCCACTCCCCACACCCCATATCCCACTCCCCACACCCCATATCCCACTCCCCACACCCCATATCCCACTCCCCATACCCCATCCCTGGACAGCTCGGGGTGGGGCTGCTCGGGCTCTGGGTGCCCCGGCGCTGCCAGGGGAAGGAGTTGTTGGGGCACAGCTGGAAGGGCCCTGCCAGCCTGTGTGACAGGCACAGCTGGCTGGCACAGGTATGGGAGCAGTGGCTGCATGTCCCATGCAGATGGGGCCATGCACAGGTGCTAAAAGCAGCTTTTTGTAAAGGAACTCCGGCACTCTTTGCTGCTGAGCTGACGTGCCCACCTAGGCAGAGTTTTGTTACTGAAGGTTTCTGTGTTGTATTTGTTAGGATTTTAGAAAGATGAACTTGTTAGTTTGACAACTAATTATATTTTTAATTTAGTGGTGAACTCTCTTGGGAATCTATGAGCAAGTTAATTTAAACGAAATTGGGTATTGCAGCTCTTGCAGGTATACTTTGTGGATTTAAATGTGAATCTGTGTAATCCCATTTTAGATATTCATAAGGTTTTGATGTCCTCATGGAAAATACTGGCCTATTTCAATATGATTTTGTGCCCAATTAACCATTTAGAGATATTGAGTTACAGATATTCAACAGAGTTGAATATTTTTGCCCTTTTATTGTGGTGTAATATTTATGTATATGTGTCAGTTTCTGGGTCTGTAAATATTTCTTATTAGGATAATTTATTTTTAAGATTACTGAATATGTAGCTCTTGTACAGCCTCATATAATTTTCGTCATGCCTTCATGGTTTTAATCCTTTACATTTTAACATTGCATCCCCTGATTTTAAACTGACTACATATATATATGTCCTTGATTTCCCAGTGCTGTGGCCTCTCTTCCCTTGCACAATTCCATGGAGACTTCAGTACAAGACATGACAAAATGTAAAACCATACTCATAGATCACCTTATAAATATTTATTCATATAAATTCTTTAAAGAAATTAAATTACGTGTTCTATACAAAATAGGAAAGAGAGGCTTTTAGTGTCACTGGCTGCAAATTGAAGTCATTTGTCTTGAAGGGTCAGGTGCCACTTTGTGGTAAGATACTTGTCTGAGATCCAAGAAGGGAAAGATTGATAGTACAAAGAGATTGATGGAACAGGCACTGCAATATGCATACGAAGTTACAGGTTAATTAGGAAGATTTAAACAAGAAAGTCCCTTTGTGTGGAGAAGTGTCATGTGCTGTTATTCTCAGCAGCGAGGTGTGCTGGCAGCCCTTTGAACAGGCAGAGCTGGTTCTCAGAGCTGTTCAGGTGGAGATGTGCAGTTGGGAGGTGGCAGAGCAGCAGCAGCACACTCAGGGAGTTCAGTGCTTTGCATACAGAGACACCTGCTCTGCTCACAGCTTTGCTTTTGTTGTGGTTGATGTAAATTATAATGCTGGTTTTGTGATTCCTGTATCAGAGTAAAGTCATTAATATTTCAGACTGCCAAGTTCTTTGGATGTCTCAGGTGATGTGACTGTTTGTTCTACTTTTTAATTGCAGGCAGAGCAAATATTGCAACACTTACAGAAAAATCCTGAATCTAAGAATGTGTGGTTTACAAAGTGGGACCTGAGCAATCAACAAACATTGTTTTTGTGTTGATAGGAAAGCTGTTTTGAAAGAACAGACACTGCAAACTGTTCCTTCTTTCATTAAAGTTCACCAGCCTCCCTGGTATATTTAGCAGAAAACAAGAAGCTTCTCTGTGTAGATTGATGCTGAAAATAAAACAGCAACATCTTTTGTAACAGTTATTCACTTGGCAGAAAGAAAATTTAGATTTGACTTAAATGCAACAAAACCAAAATGATCTGTGCCCCTTGTGTGTCATTCTGCACAAGGACAAAATGGTGCAAATCTTTCAGCAAGGCAGGAATAAAAATCTCAGCAAGCGCTTCAGTATTTATTATCCTAATGGTAAATCATCCCTGTCTGCCTGGAAGGACTGTAAAACAGACCTGCTGAGGGCAAGAGCAGGCACAGGCCTGAGGGACTGTTATACTGCTAAATACTGTAATTCTGGTATTTTTGTCATGATAGTCTTAACTAAAATTTTGCATTCATATAGTCACCTTATTTTTAGCCCCGGAGACAGATCTTGGGGTACATGGCAGCTCTCGCCCTCTACAATCCATTTCTCTATTCTCTGACTGTGGAGTATCTGAATTTTTGGTTTAGTAAGGGAAGGAAGAAGACAGGCAAGTTTTACCTTGTCTAGTTGCTATGTGTGAAACAGAAAAGGCCTTCAATTGCAGTGTATGGCTTTTTACTGAAGATGAAAAATTTATTGAAGGGAGACAGAAGTTTGAATTGCAGAATATATTTATACATTAGGGAAAGGCAGTTAGACTCAAATGAGGCCTCTGGGAAATGTGATTGACACTAAAAACAGTCCTATTTTGTTTTATGATATTGCAGTAATGATGAGTCTTCACTTGTTATGTGGTCAGATACCTGTTTATTCACATAATTCTGAGTACAAAAGCAGCTGTAAAAAACAGGTGGTGGAAAAACAACACTCTTTTCTTTTTCACATTTTCACTTGTAGGAGCTGTTTCTCATACTTAGAGAATTCTTCTCTTGTATTAACATGAGACCAAATACAAGAAAATCTGTCCAAACAAATGAGTTGGAACACTTCCCATGATAGCAATACACACAGGCAAAGTGGTGTCTCAGGCACAGTTCCAGTGGCCTTTTTGTGGTACTTACCCTCCCTGCTTGAGTGGCTACTCACCTCCCATTAGCCTCCCCACCACATCACAAAGATGCTTCTACTTCAGGAAGAAATACAATTTGTTGGTATTTTGTTCTACTGCAAGGCTTATTTTTTTTTGCACTTGATAAACACAGTGCACTGCTTATTGTGAGAACTAAGTACAATTTTTTTTCTTTTCTGTTTTTTCTTTTTTTTTTTTCTTTCCAGAAACCAAAGCAAAAGGATTGGCACCCTCCTGGAGGATTTATTTTAGGACTCTGGGCATTGATCATCATGGTTTTCTTCAAAACATATGGAATCAAGCACATGAAACATGTTTTCTGAACTGGAGCAAACAAGATACTTGCATTGGCTGCTACTTTGGGTTCATGGGTATCTCCTGTGTTCTCTGCATGGGGATTATGGTTGTGTTGAAACACTGTGTTGATATCTTCCTTCTAAAGGTTCTTTTGAAGCCATCTCTTCTGCCCCTTCTTCTGGAAAGATTCTAAAAAAATGTTACTGTTATTTGTCTTAATTTAAACATATTTTAATGCTTTTCTGAGCATTTTTTCTTTTTGGTTAAACTTGAAAAAGGGCAGGACTTAAAATCAGTAACAGGATTTCTGTGGTTGCTTCTGGATTGTAAATGGGCAAATTCTTTCCACCATACTTTGAGGTAAATCTTAGAAGAAGTAATCTCTTACTAAAGAACTGGATATTGTGGAGAACTTTATTGAAGATGTCATTCTGTCAACAAGAACTTAACCCACTTTGCAGACTTTGGCATGGCATATTGAAAGCTTTCTTCACAAAAATAAAAATACTCTGGAATATAGTGATTTCTTTTTCCTTATTATTTTTTCTTCCCTGTTAAATAAAACCCTTAGATTAGTCCTTTCATCTTAGGCAGTTTTGAGTCTAGAATTCTAGGAGTTGGTGAAAGTAAAATGAAAATTATGACCTTGCTGAATCTACTTAAAAAGAAAGCCAAAAAACTTGAAAGGACCTCACCATGTCCATTAGAAACCCTTCACAGGTGTTGTATTTTCAATGCATACAGTATGAACTTGGATGCTTTCAGAATTTTCAGTGCACTGGATTTTGCACCAAAGAAAATCGACTCTGGCATCAGGATGAAGAACATTATAAATTGTACCATTGTATTCTGCAGTTTCTGAGCCCTCAGAAAATGTGCTTTGTTGCCTGTGTTTTGTACATTCTAGTTTGGCATATTGATTTGTTCTTCCTGGACATTTACTGATGAATGTATGCTAGAAGGGTTTTGTCTGTATAATACAGTGATATTTGTGAAGAGAAGAGCAAATCTGTGCATGTGTAGAAACACATCAGTCAGTGAGGAGAAGCTTTTGCCCTGTGCTTTTGGAACGTGTTCTCTACCTTAACCAAAATAAAGCTTACCTGATGCAGTCATGGTGTAAGTACTGTACACATATCTCTAAAGTTATTAGGAATTATCTATAATCACAAGTAATATCAGAGTCAGTGTATTTTTCTTAGAATATGGTTCTGAGCGTTTGCTATTGCACAGCACATACAAACCTGAGTGCATAAACATTTTTGTCCTTTTTTCTTCTCTTCCAGCTTGATTGTGGCATCCCAGCCTCAGGTGAGAGTTTTTTATCTCCAAGGATTTTCTAGGCTAGGAGATGTTGAAGGTAAAGAATTACCCATTATGGGAAGGTAAACATTTGCCTACCCCACCTCTTTGTGGCACTTCTTGGTGAAGAACTGGAATTGTTTTCAGTAGCAGGAAGAGGGATTAAACCTAAAGCACTCCTACAGTCCTTACTGATATTATGGGATAGGTAACACTGGATATGTCTTCCCAGTGAGCTGATCAAAAGCTTTTATGTGACTGGTGCTCAGATCCTCCCTGCCAACAACAATGCAACTTAATGGAAAGAGAAACACTCTGTGGGATGGGTCTGAGTAGCATTCCTGGTGCTGGATGTCTGGATCTATTCACAGTGTGCTGGGCTTGGAGGTTGTTTTTTTGGATAATGTCCTTCAAAAGCAATGACTTCATATCCAAAATCTGATACAATCTGACTTTTAATAAAATCAGAAAACCTTTTTTTCTCCCTGAGCAATTTCTAATACAACAGTCAAGTAAAATCTGCTGTGCACAGACCATGTAGAAATGTATAGACTCAGAAGAGAAATGAATCCTACAGAATTCCTTAGAGGATCTGCTTAGCTTTCATTTCCTAATCCAACTCTTTTTCAATTGTAGTAAATATTTTAATCAAATGTTTAATTTATAGGTAAGTTTTGCCTTACTTTAAAAAGTGTACAAAGTCAAGTTGACAGAGCTTTGTGCCTTGCTTCATTTGCAGTAACACTTATTTGGACTCCTCAGGCCTCACTCAATTTTTCTCTTTCCTTCTTTCAGCCACCTTTTGCAGGAGGTGATAGAGACATCTACAGAACTCAGCCGAATTTTGCCAGTAGCAGTAGATACCAAAGATTCTGTCTTTTTAAAACCTTATCTGCTTAGGGAAAAGGAGGCAATTAGGTGGGTTATTAAAATGCAATTTATGAATAGAGGCACTCAGTAAGTATGCATGTGAAGGTGATTAAATTGAAGTGAGAACAACAGTTTGACTGGAATGCAGCAAACTCTGCTTCAGGCATTTTTAACATTTTTGTATGCACAGAAGTGAGGAGTTGAAATGGATCATTCTGAGACACCATAAAGTTGCCTATGCTACACCTATGAGACAGTATTTTCTATGCTGTGGTAGCTTTTATTCCTTGAACAGTTACAGTCTGAAAGCAAGTACAGGAATGTAACAGAATTGTCTGTAAATGTGTGTTGCATGTTTATTTTTTATTTAAAGTTAGTAATATTTTCATTTTCCCAGGGAGCCTTCAAGCTCAGTTTGGAAAGTGGCCTCTGGGAGCCAGCCATGCCACACTCAGTCACAAACCATTTGTGTTCTGCAGGCCCAGTGTGCTTTGCAGTATAGATGCTTCCTCCAAGGTGCACAGATGATCTTTCTAATGGAATCCAGAAGACAAGCCAGATGGCAGCAGTTTCCTGATGCTTCTTTGCATGGGAACCTTTTGAGCAGAATTGAATTTCAGCATTTTGTGACTGTGTGGATAGGTCCCATGCCTGCAAAACTCAGTCTGCACTCATGTCTGCACCCTGTACTGTGGAACTGCATTGACAGGTCCTGCAATGGGCTTTTAAGATATTGTTTAGAACACTCATGGAAGGTAAAAATAGACACTGATAATTTCAGTTTTTCGGCTCTCTTTCTGGATCATATCTTAAAATGCATTTTTATTACTGAATGAAGAATAAGTAGGTCCCCAGTAGGGTTGTGCTCACATCCAGGTGCTTTCCTGTGCCCTGGAGTGCCTGTGACCAGGCCCAAAGGCTGACACAATGTGTGACTAAGCTGTGCTTGTTACAGACTGAAAAATGAGGTTCCTACAAAAAATGAGTGGAGAAAGAAACCTGAGCAGGGGGGAGACAATCAGTGTTTCTTGGTCTGTGCCAGCTGAATATTTTCATGTTTAATGACTGTTCTGATGAAATGCTGTTCCCTTGACATAAGCAAATACCAGAGCCTGTTCACAGGTATCCTTACAAGCTGTGTCTCTTCTGGAGAGTGGAGGGTTTTTTCTTTCAGTTGGTTTTTCCTCCTGAAAGCTGGTATCTGTTATTGATTACTGAAAAGCAAATGTAGTCTGGGTCCAATTCTCTTGCTGAGTGCCTGCACACTGAGGCCATTTCAGTCTTTTGTTTCAGGAGTCAGGGATTTTTATTCTCAGCTATCACATCCACAGAAGTAAATGGAACTTGTGGCCCAAACTGCCTTTGGAGGGGAATCACTGCATGCTGAAGCAGGCTGAGTTACACTAAATCAGTGATTTGCAAAGGGGCTAAGGCCAGGTTCAGCTGTGAATTTATCCTGGATGGAGAGGATTTGTGCAGTGATAAGTACAGATTGCACTGTACTCCTGTGAGAGGGACTGGAAGGACTGGGAGGATACAGGGCAGAAGTGTGCAGCCCTGGCAATCCTGATACTGACAGCAGGTCACTAAGGGGTTTTTTGATGTCAGAGACCTGCTGCATTCTCTTCTCTGATGGGTGCTTAGGGGGAAGAAATAAAAAGGAAGTTTCTGATCTGAAAGCTTCCCTAATTATCCATTCAGCATGGCTTGAGGAAATGAGATACTCCAAGTTTCTGGTAAATAGTGAAAATTTCATCCATGTTTGCATTGTGAAGGCAAAAGCTTTTATGTGGTCAGGATTATTTAGATTTGATAAAAATAGATGAAGGCAATCCGCAAAGTGAGAATGGTGCATTTCAGAGAGTCTGTGGTGCTTGGAGAGAGGACAGCCTTTGGACATGGGGCAGTGTGGGACGAGGGCTGGGACAAGAAAGATCACTGTCCTTATGTACAGATCTTCAGCTCTGTTACAGAGCTCTGTGACCTGGTAGAATTTTATCATGCTTCCAGACTAATTAACCTTTGGATTGAGACAAGCATAAAATATTTCACCCAAGAGACGAATTTATTCATAAGGTTATGAACTGCAGAAAAAAGCAGTGTATATAATGAAAGTGTCTTCTCAACCATGTGAAGATCAAACTGAGGCTGCAGCTGACAGAGAGGAAAGTTGGGGCTCAGTAGCAATAGTTGTCCTGCAGAAGTCTCTTTTCAGTGTTCCACAAATGAATCACATGTGCCACAACCATCACTTCAGCACTTCTGTACCATAACTGAGTGTAATAGTTTTTTGCATTTCTTAAGGGGTGAAAAGCAAATTTAAAAAATGGAGAAAGTTTCTCATTAAAGGTTATATGACTGTAGTTTATTTCTGCTTTCCTTCTTTCTGTGAACTTTTAAAAATAAAAAGCTTTCATGAAATGTATCTTGAAAGTGTGTTTTGTAATGAAAACTTGCATAGGCTGCATAACAGTCTGAAATCAGCATTTCTTAGAACTCATTTTGCTTGCAAGTTCTTTGAGTTACTTTTCTCCCCTAATGAGGATTTCTGCCTGATTTAGTGATTAAATTGATAATGTTTAAGGTTTCCATTCAATGATATGTATCTATTAATGTTTGATTGTGCCATGTCTTCTTCCCCATGCATTTTATAGATTTGACTTTTTTCCTTTCTTTCTTTTCAGGTCTGCGTGAGAGTAACATCAAAGCCTTGGCCAATACTGAGCCAGTTTGGCTGCTTTGGCCAACAGGCTTAATAGAAATTCAAAGTGTACTGGCCTAAATTATTTTGGCGATGTTGTTTACCACAATCACTTGAACAAAAGAAGCCCCATAAGGAGCAAACTGTGTGGACAGTGTTACAGCAATTGTCACACTGCTGTTACATGGCTTTGGTGACTGCTCAGCAGAGACCAGGCCACCAAGCTGTGGTTTATTTGGGAGATTCATGGTGTGTCATACTAGTCCTTGTGACAAAATTGACTAATCTGAAATAGCAAATTTCCTTTTTTGACCTGATTTACTAGAATAATGCTCATATATCAAATGTCTGACTAGGCCCACTGGCTCTGCATGTATCAAGTATTTTAAACTGAGGCTCTGTCCTTTATATCCAGCCCCAGTATAATGGTACTTACTTTCTTTTGCCAAATGCTTTGACATTTACTAGAAAAGAGCATCACTAAACATTAGATTATGTTTGATTTTCATTAAGTTACTTCTGTACTAGTTTTCTGTCCAGGTTAAGTTTGTAGCTGAAAATATTGTGGCTCAAATTGTGATGATTACCTCCCTCCCTCGATCTGTATAATGCACATGGAATAGCAAGCAGGATCAATGGGGTCATCAGTGTATCATTACAATGTATGTTTGTATTTTGTGCAGCTCTTTTACACACCCTTCTCTGGAGTGGTCCATGTATTCATGTATTTTTTATATATATGGAAGGCTTTCTGCACTTGCTGTTGTTGCTGGTTTCTTTAATCTGCTCCTTCTCTGCAGCATCATTTGCAGTGGAGGGATGAGGAAGAGCTTTTCAGTGTCTCATGTAATGCACATCTACACATGTACAACTAGAGTAAAAAATAATAATGGTGTCGTGGGAATGTTCCAATTTTCTCCAACATAATGGGCAGTCCCACTATCAGTAACCACTTTCAGTTTTGGCCTTGTGTGTAGCAAGGATCCACTGGGGAGGCATATCCTCATAGGCTATAAATCTGTTCACTTCTTTTACCTTTGTGTTAAAACATAAACCTAACCTAAGATCTTGCCTTAAACGAGGCCACACCAAATGGTTCCCTTCAGAATTTCCTTTGTTTTGCTATTAACTTTCACCATGCTCTGTTTGGATCATAATAGGATCCAACCTGACAGCCAAAGTTAAGTCACAAAGTCCTAAAACTTTATACCTTGCTATATATGAATTACTCCATTTAT